CGGCAACAACAAGCGACAAAATAGCAAGGCAACCCCATTGACCTAGGCCAAGAGCCCTCCCAGTTGGCCAAAAGTACCCGCTAGTCACCGGCAGCCCATCATCCCTTTTTCACCCTGCCCTTCGCCACGGCAAGTTTGTAACAAAATTTACTAATTTAATTTTTGCAATTTGGTCGAGTTTTGGCTGCTCTTTTTGCTTCCTTTGCATATAGGGCAAGCCACCACCCCTGCTTACCCCATCGCTTACCTTACCCCTACTCGAACCCCTACCTTACCACTACCCTACCCCTGAAAGGATGTTTGCAACGTGCTGCCAGTGGCACTTGCAACATCTCGCGACTGATGCAAGTGGCACGTTTCGTGAGCTGAAAACGCCGAGGCCACCTACATAAGCTACACAAGAGAAAAACTGCCAAATTAATCCAACTAGATGAACTTTATTTCATTCTAAACTTTTAAAAAAGAGCTCAGGACATAAATACCTTTTGAGAGTAGTTCGATCGTTGTATATTGACTGTTCTGTTAAAAGAATGTATTTAAAGATACTCAGGTTTAATGGGCTTTTAATGGAAATGAATTTACTTCAAATTAAATAATAATATACCAATAGGTGCTATTAGTAATATAAAGAAAAAATTATACATTTTTTTAGAATTATAAAAATCTATAGCATATGTCTTAAGACATTGATTCTGAGTTTTAAATATATAGATAACCTGAATGCTCTCTTTATTATTATTAAATTAAATAAAACAATTTTTTTACTTATTGTTGGCTATTCCTATGTATCATTAATTTTTATATTATTTTTCATTGGGAAAATATTATTGCTATTTTACTAATATTACCATTTATTCTTCTAGCCCCTGTCAAATTTCTTAGAGTGTATCTGAGCGTCGGCATCGTGGCAACTAATGTTGCATTATTAAGTTTTGAACTTTGTTGTGAGGCGACATCGTGCATCCGCCCGGCAGCAACAGCAGCAGCAGCGACATCCTCTTGCCTCATTGCCCCAAAGATTCAGCTAAAGGTGTCAATGTTGTACCTATATATTTGTATATATAGAGTGTGTGTACCTTGTTAGATCATTAAGAGTCCATTAGTCATTAAGTACGCCGGCAAATGTCACTGCAGCTGTTGCCTCGCCATCCTTGAGCAGCCCCACCCTGCCGAATATATGAAATTCCATTTGATTTTAATGGGAAATTTGTTGGGTAAGCATGCCAGCGAGTAAGTTTTGGAGGGTCGGGGCTTTTTGGGGCCGGTCGCGATGGCATGCTTCAAAAATCTTGGCAGTTAATAGACACCTGACTGCCTCCGCTCATGTGGAAGGCCCGATAGCAGCCCGTCAGCCCCTGAGCATGTGAGTTATTTGGCTTATCTACGCCGGAAAATGGGTTAGCAGGGTGCCCCAACCGGGTCTCCCACTCGAAATTAGTTTGGGATTGAAAAACAGCAACTAAGACCATAAAAATCCCAGTTACTTTCAGTTACTTTAACGGTTTTACGACCACCGTGCGGGTCCCAAAACGGTTAATTAAACGTTGTCTCCTTAACAACAGGGTGTGTATGACCCGTAAGGAGGGTTCGGGGGAGGGTCTCCAAGAGTTGCTCGAGCGTGAAAACTAATTGTAGACCAGAAAGAGCCAAGTAGAGAACGTATTCGGATTACCCACTCGAAAGAAGGTTGGACGCATAGCCAGCCAAGCGTTTGACGCGACATAATCACAAGAGCTCGGCCGGAGAAAATTGACTTGTAAAAACAAAAGCACCATTTTGGTGGCATGTGATAAACGATGTTTGTTAGATGTTTTAAAGGATTTTTTTGACAATTGTAAAAATATTTTTTATATGTGATATACACTGTTTGTAAGTTTATTAAAAAAAATAGTTTATAAATTTTTCTTTATATTGTCTGTACAATAAAATAATAATAACCTTTATGATCCAAAGTAAACAGCATCAACAGGCTTAGTTCCGTATTTTTAATGGATTTTAAAATGTTTTATGTTTTTTGAGGTATCTCGGGATCTATAAAAGCAGTACCAAACTTAAGCTTACTCAATAGTAATAATTCCTTGATAAAATATAAATTAAAGTGTAACTAAAATTGTTGCAACTGTAATGTTTAGAATATATAAATACTTTTATACAACACAGAGAGATATATTTAAGAACATTGTTCTTGAATTAAGAACATTCGTTCTTAAAATCCGTGTAGGTAACATTTTTATGGCGAAAAAAGGGTTAAAATTTTTGTCAAAAATACAAAATTCAGATTTTTGTAAAAAATTTGACTTTTTTTTTGGTTTTTCCATCGTAGTTCAGCCAAATCAAGGCGTACAGCTAAAAGACTGACTGTTTTGAACAGCATGCTAAATATGCTAACGATCCTCATCACTTTAAGGAAAATTTATTTTTTGTCCAATTTTCTCACTTTTTTTTGAAAAATGGCAAAAATTAAAAATTTTTAGGTTGAAATGCCAATCGATTGGAAATTAAACAACGAGCACAACGAGGTATAACATTCCTTGTATTTTTGTTATGGCAGCCAAAAAACTGAATTTTTATGGCAAAAAAAGGGTTAAAGTTTTTGTCAAAAATACAAAATTCAGATTTTTGTCAAATATTCGACATTTTTTTCCGGTTTTTCCATCGTAGTTCAGCCAAATCAAGGTGTACAGCTAAAAGACCGACTGTTTTGAACAGCTTGCTAAATATGCTAACGATCCTCATCACTTTTTGAAAAATTTATTTTTTGTCCAATTTTCTCAATTTTTGTAGAGGTTACATCACTTTTATTTTCGAAAAATGGCAAAAATTAAAAATTTTCAGGTTGAAATGCCAATCGATTGGAAATTAAACAACGAGCACAACGAGGTATGACATTCCTCATTCTGACTTGTATTTTTGTTATGGCAGCCAAAAAACTGAATTTTTATGCCGAAAAAAGGGCTAAAGTTTTTGTCGAAAATACAAAATTCAGATTTTTGTCAAAAATTCGACATTTTTTTCTGGTTTTTCCATCGTAGTTCAGCCAAATCAAGGCGTACAGCTAAAAGACCGACTGTTTTGAACAGCTTGCTAAATATGCTAACGATCCTCATCACTTTTTGAAAAATTTATTTTTTGTCCAATTTTCTCAATTTTTGTAGGGGTTACATCACTTTTTTTCGAAAAATGGCAAAAATTAAAAATTTTCAGGTTGAAATGCCAATCGATTGGAAATTAAACAACGAGCACAACGAGGTATGACATTCCTCATTCTGACTTGTATTTTTGTTATGGCATCCAAAAAACTGAATTTTTATGGCAAAAAAAGGGTTAAAGTTTTTGTGAAAAATACAAAATTCAGATTTTTGTCAAAAATTCGACATTTTTTTCCGGTTTTTCCATCGTAGTTCAGCCAAATCAAGGCGTACAGCTAAAAGACCGACTGTTTTGAACAGCTTGCTAAATATGCTAACGATCCTCATCACTTTTTGAAAAATTTATTTTTTGTCCAATTTTCTCAATTTTTGTAGGGGTTACATCACTTTTTTTCGAAAAATGGCAAAAATTAAAAATTTTCAGGTTGAAATGCCAATCGATTGGAAATTAAACAACGAGCACAACGAGGTATGACATTCCTCATTCTGACTTGTATTTTTGTTATGGCATCCAAAAAACTGAATTTTTATGGCAAAAAAGGGGTTAAAGTTTTTGTGAAAAATACAAAATTCAGATTTTTGTCAAAAATTCGACATTTTTTTCCGGTTTTTCCATCGTAGTTCAGCCAAATCAAGGCGTACAGCTAAAAGACCGACTGTTTTGAACAGCTTGCTAAATATGCTAACGATCCTCATCACTTTTTGAAAAATTTATTTTTTGTCCTATTTTTTCAATTTTTGTAGGGGTTACATCACTTTTTTTCGAAAAATGGCAAAAATTAAAAATTTTCAGGTTGAATTGCCAATCGATTGGAAATTAAACAACGAGCTCAAAGAGGTATGACATTCCTCATTCAGACTTATATTTTTGTTATGGCAGCCAAAAAACTGAATTTTTCTGGCGAAAAAAGGGTTACAATTTATGTCAAAAATACAAAGTTCAGATTTTTGTCAAAAATTCGACATTTTTTTCCGGTTTTTCCATCGTAGTTCAGCCAAATCAAGGCGTACAGCTAAAAGACCGACTGTTTTGAACAGCTTGCTAAATATGCTAACGATCCTCATCAATTTTAGGAAAATTTATTTTTTGACCAATTTTCTCAATTTTTGTAGGGTTATCACCTTATTTCGAAAAATGGCAAAAATTAAAAATTTTCAGGATATAATGCCAATCGATTGGAAATTAAACAACGAGCTCAACGAGGTATGACATTCCTCATTCTGACTTATACTTTTGTTATGGCAGCCAAAAAAACTGAATTTTTAAGGCGACTGGACTAATAGTTTAGTTGTTGAGATAAGCAATGTAAATACTCCAATTCAACTTTGTTCGAGCACAATGAAAACATTTCGAACTTCAAACACGTCGTTATATTTTTAAAAACATTTTAAGCCCAGATGAAAACGTCAGAATTCTGTCTGTGTAATCGTCATGATGGATTACACCTTTTTTATTGTTACCATCAGTTAATATTACATAAAAGTGAAAGTCTTCCGTTTTTATAAGTGCACTGTCTAGAGGGTGTTCTGTTAATTCTACAAGTCTCGAGATTCCATCATATTCCCACCTTTTTTTTCCGTGCAAATGTTGCTAAGCTTGAGAACCCGCAACACGCTCGAACCTCTTTGAGTGTCGAACCTCCTTGAGAGCATGAAAAAACGTAAACACAACCTGGTTGTCATACCCACCGACGGCTAACAGGTTCGAGCCACTCTCCGAGAGAAGTTCTCCGCCATGCGACTCCTAACAGCTCTCATTTCTGTTAGGGAACGACGAGGCCTAACAGCTCGTATCTGTGAAGTACATATCGCCGAATCCCCCAGTTTCAGTTCCAAGTTTCAGTAGATTTCGGGACATCGTGCGGATCGAACGTCTGGCGCTGCGTTCACGCGACTCGTACGCTGCAGGGAACCAGTTACCAGTTACCAGTGAGTCCAGTGACTACCGTGAACAGTGACCAGTGATTCAGACAGTGAACGAATAACAGCCCGAGAATTGTTGCATTTACGGAATCGCATGGATATTGAAAAAGGTATAACCGAAAAATGCATATGGTAAACAAAGTGTTCAGCGAATGTGTGTGTATTTTTTGGCGGATTTTGCATCCGGATTGTTTTGTTGGTTCTGCCATTTAGCAAGTGTACCAACCGAGTGCTACATCCATCCATCCCATATATAAACGAGTGTGTGGAGGTGCCGGGAAATACTTTGACACACTTTTACTTCGTGCCCAACTCCCGGCCATCGGTTATGGCGTGTCCTCGAAAAAAAGTTACAACTACAGTGGGAGTGAAGAGGACCTGCAAGGACGAGGACGCTGCAAAGAAAAATCTCGGCGAGGCGAAAGCGCTGTGTTTTCATTGTCGTCGTTCGCCTTTGGCTCATCAATAAAAATTTCCTTGACATTTTATGAGCCAAAGGATTCCGAGCTCACTTTACTTTACTTACTCCATTCGCCGGGTTGGAATGGCCAATATATTAAATGCGACAACGGATTAAACGCTCGGTTGCCCTTTTTATGTCCGCTTATATTTATGGACAATTATTTAAAAAATTGCCATTCACTGAAAGTTCACACAATACGCACATATTTATGGTCTGTGAAAGTTTAATGGGATCGCCAAAGGAGTTGGAAGTTCTACTTCTAAAAGGGGAAATTTAATTAAGCCTCGCCGCGATTGTTTATAAATTCATGTTAATGATATTTGGACAGCCGTGGGAAAAGACTTTCCTTATTTTCCCCCCCTTTGGATGCCGAAAAGTATCTGCAATTACGTCGAAATCGTTGGGCGCGAATTCCGCTGCCAAAGTTGTGAGAATTTTCCGCTAATTGTTTTCCGTCTTGGGAGGAGGCGATTCGCAATCGTCGCCAGCTGCGCGGCCAAAGGACTCTCGCTCGGCAGACTTTCCCCTCCGTTTTTGATATGCAAATGGCCTTAAATTCCATACTCGAATCGAAATGAAATTGCCACAAAGTTTCAGTTTCCCAAAAGAGAAAAGAAAAAAAAACAAGCAGGCGGCACGTGCGGCGGAGTCGTTTAATTTTAAATGCCAAACCTTTTTATTAATGGTTATTGCCGTGAGTGGCAAGAGTGCTCCTCTCCAACTGGTGTAATAATCGAAGATTGTTTTGACATTAGGAAAAGCCCTCGAAAAGGACTTAAAGTCGTTGAATTTATTCCTGCAAGTGGCTCGTGCACAGATTGAATCATCATGCCGCGCATCACAGAGACATTCATTTAAATATTTTGACAAACTTTGACGACATTTCGCGCAATTTCAACGCAATGTGTGCTATCCATCCTTGTACGGAGTGCCCCCTTTGGGATGTGCGAGTTTGCCCCGGCATTTATATCAATTTCTTTATTCCTCACGGCTTTCGACTGCCGCCTGCATTTTGGCAAGGAAAAATCTCGAGTTTTTTTATTTTTATTTTCAGGAGGCAGGAGCTGTTCTAGGAAATTTATGTCGCCTTTTATGGCTACGTGGCTCGTAAATAAGAAAAATGTTGCAGCACCACCATCGGAATATCGGGGTTTTATCTTTTGCACATGTGGCGGCAAGTTAGGGTGGGAGTTGCTATCTTTTCTCCCTATCCACTGGCTATATTTTAGTTACTCCCCTTAGCTGACATCCAATCAGCATTTTCAAGGCAAATAGAAAGACAAAAATTATTTCATATTTCGCACGACACTCAAATGGCACACTTAATATTTGATTTGTTTATTTGATTTCGTTGCTCCCAGTGTCCTTGACATCAGAGTCCTCAAAAGGCTTACAGCAAATCGAATTAAAAATTTTCGCAAATCAAATTGCTATTTGCAATTCTGAGAAGAAGTTCCCAAAAATTACTTGTCTGCAAATGAAAATGAATGAAAATGTTTAGAATTGCGAAATTGTGAAAATGGTGTGTTCGAGTGTTGGTGTGTGCGGAGGAGCATGAAGCGGGGAAAGGGGGCCAAATTAGTTTGTTTGGCGAGTGCGAGAGTGTAGGGTGGACCAAAAACACAAAGCCTAGTTCGTTAAACTCGACCGCTTATAAAATGTATACGGCCGACACACTCACATGCCGATTTTACCTTTTGTTGTTGCGGTGACTAGCCAAGCAGAACGCCTCAGCGTTGCGTTGGATTTCATTCCATTTTCGGTTCACTTTCAGTCTGCATTTGGTGCACTGAAAAAAAGAATTATTTATGAACAATTTCATATGAATTTGTTGCTTAAAAATCATGTATTTGCTTGTTAATATGCATATTAGAAACAAGAAAATTCAGTATAAAAACAAAATCTATTTTGATGAGTTTCTTTCCTTTTAAAAAATTCTTAACGAAGGTTATACTGATATAATTAGTATTTCTTCCAAATAAAAAACACTCCAAAGTATATATTAAATGCTAACTATATTTAGTAATTATTTTGTAAATATTATTTCATAGTACTTTTCCCCCAGTGCACATGGCATAAGTTTGGAAAAGCAACAGAGACTTGCAACCCTCCTGCTTTTCCAGCTGCAATTGCTCGATGTTGCATCAGCAAATGGAGCTGCAGAACAGAACTCAAGCTCCGGTCCACCCCCTCCGGTATTTTCTCGTTTTTGTTAACCAAATTTGAATATTAAAACAGAATTAGCCGAGTGCAGCAAGTGCTGCCCGCCCACTCGATGGCCCTCTAGTTAGCCGGAAACGGAAATGCGCAGGAGATGGTGGTGGGGGAGGGTCAAAGGGAAACGCTTGCATGGACAGGGCAATTAATGGGAATTATTGATATGCACAGGAGTACGGAGTACCTCGAACCACCAAAGAGTCCTTGAGTCAATAACTGCCCTACTCTAGTTGGCAAATTTCCCGGAAATTTCGTTCGCTTTCCCTGCCTTTGAATGCGTTGCGAAGTGTTTTCTGCGAAATCAAAATCGATTGCATTGACTTTTGTCTTCGCGGAAATGGACGGGGCAATTAGATGCGATTTAGTTGGCCCCATCAATTTGCATATCGAATATGGGCAATCGTAAGTCCATTTTCCCGCCTGATCAATTTGGTCTAATGAGCTACAACTTCGAAGGTGTTGAAATCCAATAATTGGAAATCAGAACTAGCCACCGTGAAAAGATTGCGAAAATAAACAAACAAACAAACAAGCTGGCAAACAAACGGAAAAGCGGCCGAAACAGAGGAGCAAGAGCAAGAAGTCGGTGGCAAATGGAAATGGAAAAACAAAAAGTGAGCAGTAACCGTTAGAATGGCACCTGCCACAGCGTCTGCGGCTAAAATTTCAAATTTCCATTTAGAAAAACACAACAGCCAGATGCAAATAAAAACAAATTTCTGTGTGTGGCAGCTGCATGCGCAACTTTTCCATTGTGCTCCTAGTTTATTTTGTATTTTTCTCATATTTTTGTCGAATTTTCCACCTCCTCGCTGCGCACATTCCACAACTTTTCATTTCATATATTTGTTTTTATTTTTATCCACTAGGCACAAATTAATTAAATGCACTCGACTGTGATTTATGCGATCCTAAGAGGAGTCCCGAGTGCAAAAGGGCGTTTGGCAAGGGGTAGGGGCTCTTCCCTAGGAAAAGCCAGATAAAGAGGAAAACATTGGCTCCTGCAATTAGTTGGAAATATCGGAGAGCGGGGATTTTCCACTTGAGGCCTCCACAGGGGGCTGTGATCTCCCGTCATGTGTCGGGCATTTAAAAGCCAAATCCACTTAAGATTAACTTATCACTGGGCTGCCTCATTATTATTATTGCCTGTGATGATGATATTCGCCTTTTTACAGGCCCGGGGGATATAATGGTTTTGTGAAACATGTATTCTAAAATCTCCCTTGGGTTTCTGTGTATAAGAGTTTAACGTGACTCATTTCTTTAAAGATAATATAGTATACTTATATCATTTTTAATTTCTTTAAAGATCATATAAGAAATTAAACAATACATTTTTGATAACATTCGTATAGTAACTTTACTTTTTCTGGTAATAGAAACTGTTTTTAGATAGTAATAATTTTTTGTTACCCGCTTAAGAATTCGAAAAGTTTAGATAAATAATTCATTATTGGTTTAATGTTCATAAAGAGATTGACCTATTTATTTTATAAAATATTCATTATGGTACGTTAAATAACTCTAATTCTATTCTGGTAACTCTATTATATTTTTTAAGGTATACCTTTTTTGATAATTTATTTCTTTACTGATTGACGGGTATATTTCAAGTCGAGCTATCGTTGTTGGCAATCAAATGCGATGTGGAGTCAAATGTCTAATAATTTTCAGCTTAAAAATTCATTAGATACAAATCGCTGGACCCATATCAAAAGCCCCAAAGCCACAATGGAGCGACGGAAAGAGGCCGAGCTGATTTACTCCCAATCGAAGTGAGGGCCTTTTGAGACTTTGGCTATGGTTTCGACCCTGAATGGCTCGCTTCTCCTGGCTAATTTCGCACTAATTGATTTCTTTTTGGGGCCGAGATGAGGGCACTGGCCAAAGAAGCTTTAATTGAGCGACTCCGCCCCTCCTCGTAGGGCTGCCAAATGGTTTCTTCCGCGCCCGACACGCGTTGACAGGCCCAACTGTCATAGTTTTTTCTCCGGCAAATCGAAAACTAAGCGCAGTCAAAGTCTCATTAGCTGATGACTTTGATGGTGGCCACCACAGCCCATTCCCTTTCCCTGTGTTGTCTCGCCTCTGATTGGGTTTTAATGCCTTTTGGCAGCCAAACAGTGTCCACGAATCGTTTACAGAAGTTCCATAATTTGTAGCCGCCTCTGATTGATGGGCCGCGATCCCATACCAACCCGATCCCCCTGCTCTCGGGGCCCCCATCATTTGTGCCTGCTCATAGTTGTCATCTGTGGCTATTAACCAAATCATTTGGCCTAAGCTCCCCAAGATTCCGATCTTCACTCAGACGCTTTCACATTTTCCACGCGCAATTTGCCACGCACTGCGAATGTGGAGGCACGTGTTGCAGAAACGCCTCACAGTCGACCCTTGAACTGGAGAGTACTGGCTCTGTTACACTAA